CTTTTCCCAAACAGCAAATCAGAGGAGGCATCACGAATTCTCGGCAGAGTTCTTAGCTCAACAATATGAGGAATCCTCGGATCAGACTGGTACTTTTGAGAAGATCAAAGTTAAGATGGGTTCGGCATATCATGATAGTACCTCTAACAAACGACCAAGCAGCTTTTCTTGGTTTGATCGGAAAGCAGAGACTACCAGCAGGGCGCAGAATGGCGTGAAGCTAGTATGCCATTCAATGGCATGAATTTTGTTCGATTTGAGATATCTTCTTTCGACATTCAGGTATCGGCGCAGGATGATGAACTTTGGCGACATTGTCTGCAGCTGCCAGATCAGTGACCATGAAGGACGAGCGGCATCAAAAACTGACTAACCAATCGGCTGTGATTCTTACTCTTGTTAACCCTCCTGAAAGCGAGTGACATTTTTATATAACTCCACTGTACATATGTCATTCAAGTAGCGAATTACAGCCACCCTCGCCCTCTCTAAGATACTTACTACTGTTTGTTATACAGTATTGTACGTTGCATATATGTTAATTTACTGTTAAAGCTGACATAAGAAACAAATGCGTACCTTTAAGACTGCATGTTTCTACATCGTCCGAAAATGCGAAAATCTTAGCATGCTATGGGATACCTGATCACATCCTTCCATTTTGGAAAGGATGTATGCACTAACCATGTCTGTTGTCAGAACTTAAGGAGAGCTATCTGAATGGTTCCCTGGTTACCAATTAACTATGGAGTTCATCAAGGATATGTGCTTTCGCCTTTGCTATTTGAAGTTGTTCCTGATTTTCCTTTCCGAAGCACTGTTGACCCTGGCAAAGATGAGGGTCTAGTTTTGAAGGGAAGGCGCATGTCAAGATACCTGACTAGATACTTTGCTGACTGAAGTATGCAGATGATATTGCCCTGGTAAACAGTACGGAAAGCAGGTTCTGTCATCTGACGACTTCCATGTGCAACACGGCTGTGGAAACAGACCTCTACCTTAACGACCGGAAGTTAAAGATTATGAGGAACTTCTGTGGCGCAGTTCACCTACAAGTAGAAGAGAGGTGAAGCCCTTCAGGATGTTTACCAGTTTACGTGTCTCGGCTCCATCATCTCCAGCGATGACACTATCCAGCCACGGTTAAATCGGAGGATAGCCACAGTCTATGGTGCTTTTGGAAACCTATCCAATATTTCGGCTGAGACAGGAGTATCTCTTCACAGAACTACTCCTACACCTCGCTTCAGTCTAGTCAATGTTGTTGTACGGCATGAAGGCAGTAGTTCAAACGAAGGGATAAGAACGACAGCTTAACTGTCTGCAACAGCGTTCACTTCGATGCATAAAGGACCACCTACAGGTTGAACGGCTCTTTTCTGTTCTGAGCACCCGTGACCTCAGTAGATGTGGAAATTAACGAAAGAAGGTTAGCCCTGTTATGCAAACTGGTTAAGCAAAAATCCGCGAGCTTCTATATTAACCGAAATACAGCAGTCTTCGACCAGAAGGCCAGCATGCAACATGGATGAACAGGGTAAAGGAAGATGTGCTTTTAGAGACGAATATTTCTTTTTCAGGCGTAGTAACCGGTGCCTGATATAATAAATGTTATAAAACTACGAATACACCGGACATCACTGACCAGCAACGCCCAGCATAAGCCGACGGCTGATAGTGATGATCTCAGCAGGCACACAAAAGCACACTCGTGCGTGAAGCAGAAAACATATTGTACACACCTTATTAGTACGTTTTGCGTTATTGCATAAAACGGGATCTCCTATCCATATTCTATGTTATTTTAAGTTTTCCGCATTAATTTTAAAAATTTTGATTTTTACGATCTCTGAACTATTTCACCTAACTCGTTATTCAATATTTGCAGTCATTGCGCTTTGGTTGCCTCTGTTTTGTCACTTATTACTTTGTTTTAGGGAGAACCTAATCTAACTCATCCAGACGTCAAACAATGGACAGACGAAGAATTAGGAATTCCCAGTGATGATTCAATGCCTGTCAGAATTTTTTAATATTGATACATCAGTTTCTTCACTGGTGTAAATTTGGCTATTGTTCTGTGACTGTTACGGCCTAGCCCGTTTAGCTAGAAAAGAACGATTTGCTCTCATCGATTCGTGAAATGTTGGATACAGTCAACGGCCGCGAAAGTGTTACACTTATTCGTTATATTAGTGTGAGATGCCTCCAGATTTTCCGTGCTTAAAAATAAAATTCATAAATTTGAATGATTTGATCTAATCACATTTTAATGATTTGTAAACTTACATTTAATTATCTTATTTTAATTTGGAGGTAATTTTCTCTATCAGGGGTATGTGAAAATGATCCAGAAGCCCGTATCCCGCCTGTAAGATGAAAAGGTAGTATTTCCTGTCTACTTGCTAATGGTGTCTGTCCGTGACCAGTGCCTAACGAGGTAACTTCTCCGAATCCGTTGGGTCGGATGAAAGTTAGGCAGGGGGGTGGCGATAGATGTAGAACATTCATCGGCTGTAGTTTACGAAGGTTGGCACCCACCGACAAATCACTCACCAAGAAAGTAAGAGATTGGAGAATTATCTACTTGGCGTTTGTGTGAAACCCTTGCAAAGATATGTATAATGATAACGGAAAGACTTTATTTGATCCTGGGCCAAAGTAGCCAAAGAGTAGGTTGGCGTTATAAAACGGTGCACTGAATTGCAAGTGACTGATCATATGTTACTTAAATTCTAGCAGCATTGCACAGACGACACTGTTTTGAACTTTGCGCGTTTTTGACTTGCAATTTGTTTTTTTTTGACTGATTAGCAGTTGCTAATGAGTAAGAAATTTCTAGAACGTGTTAGATTTGAACTGGTACGTTTAAAGTGTAAATTTAAGAAGAGTGAGACTATGAGGGGGTGGTTCAAGGGAGCCCAATAATACTAAGGTTATTGAGTTATGAGAACCCACTTAGCGGCCAGTTCTGTGAAATTATGACGATTTCATGGATTGGTTTAGCGAGAGAGAAGGTAGAAGGCCATTTCACATCTTTTTCAAAGGGTTCCGGTTGATGAGGGCTTTGAAGCAGTGCATGATTGGTATCAGCAGTGCGAAATTTGGAAGGACCATGCCATACGAACAACTGCGAAGATCTCCGTCTTGAAAGCAGTCATGTTCGCGATACTTGCATATAGTATGGAAAAGTTTGTTGTTTTGAAAAATCCGAAAACTCGTCTCTACAGCTTCCAGCAGCATTGGTCTTGGCGTATAGCCAATGCGTGTTCTTATCCTGAAAGAACAGGCGCTCTGGATTGATACAATGCCTCAAGAACTCAGAGACCGCCACTTGATTTTGATGGATAAAATGGTCCAAAATTATTATCGACTTGTATAATATCTTTTCCTCATTTTAGGCGCCCATTGAAGATGTGGAGCAATTCCAACGAATCCGGAATTCGTTTGGACGCCGCGTACAAGTGACATCTTCTATATAAGTCTCAGTGCATCGGCCATGAGTCTGTGTCATTCGTCCATTCATCGAGAACCCTGTCAAAATGACCCTTTCAAATTCTGTATTTTTCGGCACCGCTACTGTATAGCGTTCAGAAAATCGTAATCATTTCACTTGCAGTTAAAAAGTACATGTAAGTGAATGCAGTAATCAGCAAATTCCCTTCCTACGAACCGATGTTTTTGATGTTGCTGTGAAAAAATTTAATACCAACTGTATGAATAGCTATTGTTTGTGTTTCTATTAATTTTTATGCTCAATTGCCATCGATTTGTGACCGTTAATGAGTCTGTTACCGAGGTATGGTGCTGTTATGCTGTGGAGTTTTAAATTTGTTAGTTTATTGGAAGTGGGATGTACAACGTTAGCCAATTCCGTTGTGCTACCAGTGATTGATAGAAAACAAATGGCTTATCGTGGTATATGGCCAGAATAACAGTATGCAATTGGCTGATCCTTCATCGTAATTAACGAGGATCACCACTTTTTAGCCTCGTGCGATTTGTCACCAAACTTCTTTGTCTCTCTTTTAGCACATCTTCTATAGGGTCTTATACCGTTGAATACAAGTCGTCATATCGAAGCTTGGAAGCTCAGATGACGAGTCCCAGCTTGGTTATTCAACCTTAAAGATGACTGTTATTGCAGACTGTTGCGAGCGTGTAAAAGACGCGTTCAAAATTTTCTTGCGTGACGGAGTGGGGGGGAGGGACACTTGGGTTATGCGGTAGTCGATTGATTTTCAGAACTTGCTATTCTTTCGAGTAGAGAAGCAATCATTTCAGAGTTTTTTCAATGGCTTTTGTCTTCCGCTATCTAGGCTAGCACCAGTTAATACATTCGAAGCTAGGATGGACCTGCTTTTTGGCGTTCTTTGGCTGTGATTTTTCCATGTTAGTACGTTTCACCAGTTTCTCCTCTAGTGTCTTAGTCTTAGGTCTAATCGATTGCAATGGTAATCTCTGGATCTGAAAAGAAAGTCTTACAAGTGAGGGAATTCAGGTTTTCCATGTTCCAAGGCTTGCCGAACTTCCGCTAACAATTCATCGACGTAACCTCATTATTATCTCTTATATCCTGGGTCACGATATTACGATAAATGCCCACTACGATTAGAATAAGTAAGCTGACTTTAAGGCTGATCCATTGTCGCTGCTGCTTCGTTCGTTCGCCATCAACGCAGAATGGTTTTGTTCCTACATCTCACGAAAAATCGAAATAATAACAATAGACATAGGTCATGAGATCACTGCCTTAATCTAAGTAGCGCACACATTCTTTTATAAGCAGAATGACCATTGTCCATTGTAGTCACAACATTGGTGCTACGCTTATAGTAAAACGGAAATGGTCATTTTATTTCTGACAGTTCTTATTTTAGAACAGTAACTTTGAAGAAGTGTTCGTGCCGAAGGTCTCGCTGGAACAAAAGCCAGCTTGGTCGCCCTCTTTCTGTGCGACAGATGCTCACAGCCGAATCTGGATTTGAAGAAATCCTCTAGCCTTTTTCTCGTCTCGCAGTCGCTCTCTGGCTTTTGCTGTCTGACCCTTTCGTTTGACCTATCTTTCCGAACCCCGTTCAACGTGACTACGCCTTGCTAGAAGAACATCTCCGCTAATGACGAATTGAACTGCTTGATTTAATTGCCTTTTTCCTTAAGTAAAGAAAGATTTGTAATTTGGGATATTTTCACAGTGCTTACTGTATATTAATAAACTTTGCTTATCTTTATAGAAGCACATAATCTGAAAATTACTTCATCGCCAGCTAGGAGCCATTTCTATTGAAACTTTATGTATATGAACAGAACTTTAATTTTTTTATGTTCTTGGACAGTTTTTCATCATGGCAGAGTTAAAAAAAGTATATTCCTCAAAATGTTGTAAGGAACCTGTAAAAATGCTGCGAAATAGCATTGCTGTGCGGAATACATTACTTTAAGACTACCGTACTGAAAATGTACCATACAAATTTGCTCGAATAGCTGACATCTAAGCATTGCACTTGAAGTGATGTTAGTCAGTTGTAAACAAATTTTACGTAGTTTATGTCGCGATTTAGCTCTACTTCCTCGCAAATCTGATATTCATACACAGTATTTTCCTTAATTTTCATTCCAGAACCTGAACCTCAATTCATTCCCATTTTCTGTGTTACACGCGCATTCGACGGTGAAATTAAGACTCATCCAAGACCAAATTTTCCCTTATATCGTTTCACTCCTTGTTCGTATTGCCTTGTCTTCGAGGATTTATGTTATTTGACATGCTCTACCAAACGTTTGTTTTTTATGCTTATCATTAAATGATTGATTGTTATTAAAAGAGATTTAGAAGTAGACCTTCGATGCTAAGCATTCAGCTTGAATCGCTCCGGATATTTACGGTATCCTGCCAGTGCTAAACAAATATAATCCATTCTGCAATCGAATGATTGAACAGCCCCTTAGATCGAAACAGCTGTCTGTACAATATGATTGTAGAGGCTGTGCAAAGAAGCGACGATAAGAGCGGTCTGTGTCTATGCATCGATAACCTGTAAAATCAATAAAACCGTGATTCACACCTGAACTCCTTTGAATGAGGAATGCAGAACGAATAAAGCGAATTGTATTTTGAGCCCCTTTGATGTCGGAGGACCAGATTAAGTGCCATTAATCACAAAACACTTTTTATTGAGAGTCTTTTACAACTTAAATTAGAGTGTACAATAAAGCCATCATATGCTGATACTTCCTTTGGAAAATTGCCACCTTCCATTTTTCCACTGACCTTTCAGCAGTAGCGAAAACATGGACCTATCATTTCTATGCCGCTTCAGACATGGAAAACCTTAATCCATGTATGTGAACATACTTTAACGACTTCATCGAGTTTGCAAACAAACTTTTTTAGACAATCCCTAACCTGATCCAGTTTTTGTAGACATTCTTTTTTATGTGAATTTTATACTTTGTTTAACGAGGAGTTTGTTGCTGGCTCGGACTTCCATGTTTACGCTTCCTCGCCGGCTTAGAGTCTAGACGACGAATGACCATCATTGTCGCAAATCACATGGCGGTCTTGTCAAGCATTTGAAATTGTTTGCATCTTTAGCTATTCAATGAGTTGCACTGAGGCAACAGCTTCGCACCATCGAGAGAAGGCTTTCGATTTATCAGAGGGCTGTTTCGATCTTCTTCCTCAATGTTCCGTCCTGTCCTCGATATTTCAGTTTTCACATAGCAGATTTTTCCTTCAGATTATCAGCTAAAATATATTTCGTTTTCGTGATTGCAGATTCCATTTGCTGCAGTTTGCTGTCGAAAGATTAGCATTGCTATGCTGCATACTTTTTTATTATGTAACACGTGAATAGAAATTATAAATTATTAGCGTCTATTAGAAAAAAGTCAAAAGTGAGTTCTAAAGTAAGTTTATTGTCCAGACCAAATTCTGACAAGCGTACGGAACCTATGAAACAGGAACGACCTACCTATTTGAATGAAGTTATCCTTGAGCAACCTCATTCTAACGTTAGAACTTCGTTAACGATTTCTTACCCTTCGGAAACGTCGTTCATGATGAGAAAAGATTGTCATAAACGACCCAGTCATGCACTATACATCTAGCGCAGCAGACGCTCAGGTACCATGAAACGCTTACCTGCGTTGATGGCCCCTGAAGCGTCCACGAGCCAGGAGCTCTCGAATTATGCGTGATATGTCCTGAGGTTTGGTCTTTGAGAAGTTGAGCACTTGCTGGCCTCGTTAAGAGGTACACAGATATAACATGACTCATGCTGCCACGCTATAAGGTCAACCACAGCCTTCAGTTTCCCTTCGTTAATTTGGTACTGTCCAACTCTCATGCATTAAATTTTACTATTTTTACCTGTCACTAATGTAATAATTGTAGTCCTCCTGTTAGAGCGTCACGATGAGGCCAAGTAAACAACTTGAAACAATGGTGACATTATTGACCTCTTGATGACGAAGGCCGTCCACTTAAGAAATGCATTGTATTATATTTTCATTCATGTACGAAGCCGGCCGTTTCTTGTGTATCGCGGAGGCAGCTGCCTCACGCTTTTCTTCATGGTTCTCGCCCTCTGCCCAATGGTCTAGTTTCCGAAACGCTACAGGGCTTCTAAATAACCGGTCTATCTGGTCCGTGGTCTGCCTTGAGTCGTCTTCAATGTAGCAGCACCATGAGAATACACCTGGAAAGTTTCTCGACTGGTCTCTTTAAAACAGGACTAAACCGTCGTAATTGTGATCTCACGACGTAGAGAAGCAGGACTCGTAAACGAGATTATCTGGCTGGCATGGTGAAACAGTGCATACAGAGTCGGTTTCGAACTCCGGAGGTGAGGGGGTCAATTCCGTTCGAAGAAAATTTTGTCTTGACCACGAATTCCCTTGAGGGAGTTTTCCATATTTTGCTTTAGATCGGGGTTGTTGAGTCCGTCGGGCGTCCAACTCAGAATCGACAGGTCCTCAGAGTAACTCGCCTTTCTTCTTTTTGAGGCTGATAAACGAGTACTACTCTGTGGGAAGTAAACAGGAGATTACACGCTATTTTTGCCACGTAACTGCACGACGACTCTCCGTTGATAAAGGCCCTCCTGACTAATGGCATGGAAATGGAAATCACTTCTCCCACTGTTAACTTCACGAGACAGAGCACCAAAATGGCCCCATCATGTTAATGTAAGGAAGACCGACATTGCAACGGTTATAAACGTTCCTGTTCTTTAGAACAGTCAAGTTTCGAACTATGATGACTCTTGTCCCGCCGGTAATCTTCTGAAGAAATCTTCCTTTGGCCGTTTGTATCCAAAATTGCATGCTGTCGATCAATATCCAGCACTCACGACCGCAGGTGAAGCTAGATGCCTGCAGACACTTAAAAAGAAACAGCTTCCGTTACCGCGCTTCCGCTGTTGTCTGACTGATGGTTATTATATTTTGGATTTATATAGTAAATTTTAGCATTTATTTGTATTTTATACAATGGATGGAGAAGGATGAGTTAAATTAATAACTTGGCACAAGATCATCGAGTGTTACCACAGATTCTGCATTTCGGACCTTGTTCTGAATTCGACGTGGATGCGTACTCTCTGACCTCTTGTTAAAGTTATCAAATGATAAACAAACATTCTAATATGAAATAAATGTTTATAATCTTTGTTTCCAACACTGACTGGGAAGACCTGTCATGAATCACACAACGCTTGTAAGACATAATTATATAAGGCGTTGAGAATGACCCTCAGTTCAAAACCTTATGCGGGAAAGCTGCAACCATCGTTCGTATTAATCGTTGAAGCGTATGAAGCGTCTTTTTCTCTATATCATTTGAATGAATGTATTTTACTGCTTTAATACACGGAATATGGTCATGCGTTTCAGGACAAAAGAACGCCAACATAGCAACTGATACACAGGAGTACAAGTACTGCAGTATAACGATTAAGTAACTGTTTATACCATCTACCAGCAAGCGACCGATGATGCAATCCAAGGCTGGAATGACCGGATTTCATATCAGTTCAGTCTGGCGCCATATATTCACTATTTTCGGTCTTGCAAATTTATTCATTAAAACGAGAAGGGCTCACGGTAACAAATGGCTCACGGCCAGGTCTGACGAAGATCTGATTGGCGATTGTTTGATGGATTATATCAAGAAATAAATCCTATGGCATCGTCATGATTTAAACGCTGACATAATGGAAGCAAAGGATCGCATTTGTAACATTCAATACAATGCCTGAATCCCCTGGAGAGTTGCTCTGGAAGAGAGGAAGATCACTAGGTAGATATATGATAAGGTATAATTACTAACTAGATATATGTACGGGTATAATCAGTAGGTAGACAGAGGAAAATTAGACCATGGAATGGTGCAAAACAGATAGTTCGCTCTCTAT